CACCACCACCACCACCACCACCACCACCACCACCACCACCACCATTACCCTCACCATCACCACCACCACCACCATCGCTACTGCCACCATCACCATCATCATCATCATCATCATCATCATCATCATCATCACTATTTCACTGAGTCTGGTCCTGGATGATGTTGGCTCTCCTTATCAGTGTTCCTCAGGGTTCCTTGGTCTCTACCTGCTTGCAAGGTGACAGGGAACTCAACACTCTGGGAACTGCCCACTTGGGAGTCTCAGGATAGCCCTGCTAATTTTCAACACTGAGCACAATTTCTATGCTTCAAGTCTCTTACACGTGGTTACAGGAGCCCAAGAGGTAGCTCAGCTGGGGCTGGAGGGGCTGTCTAAGGAGAGGACCCCAGTTCTGGCCTCCTTAGCTGAACAAGATCTTGGCGGCCCTCCCATGCATTCTGTGTGTTGCCCCTCAGCAAGCCAGGATGCCAGAGGCCTGGCCCCACAGGATGCACCCATGAGGTGGAGCCCCCCTTGGTCCCCCCTCCCACCTGCCCAGTTTATCTCCTTGGGACTGTGCAGACAGCGGAGAGGCAAGGGGAAACCTCTGGTTCACATTCACATCACTGTTACCCAAGAGTTAGAGGCTGTTCATGTCCCCTCTTTGCGGATATGTGGATGGTTAGTTTTAATGGATGCAACTCAGAATCACCCGGAAAGAATGTCTTAGTAAGGAGCTATCCAGATCTGTTTGACCCATGGGCATATCCTTGGGGCATTATCTTGGTTGTTAATTGATGTAGGAAGGCCCAGCCCACTGTGAGTGGCACCATTTCCTAGGCGGTGGGTCTTGAACAATATGAGAGGAGAAAGCTAGCTGAGAGCGAGCAAGCAAGGGTAAATTTATTCTCTCTCTGCTGCAGGTGTGATGTGATTAGCAGCTTGAGCCCCTGCCTTGACCTACTGCGGTGATGGACTGTAATTTAGGATTGTAAGCCAGTAAATTCTCCCTCTTCTGTGTTGCTTTTTGCCAGGGTGTTTTATCACAGCCACAGAAATGAAAGCGGGATAAAGTATTCGGAGGCAGATGTACTTCCCTGGTTACGGAGAAGCACTGAGGTGGCAGGGATCTCGGCTGCTGCCCCCCAAATGAGCACTAGTAGATACCGCCATGGTGCCTCCCCTCTTCCACAGAGACTACTGTGGGGACCCTCGTTTGGTGCCAAGGGCTTCTGTCTTCAGATTGGCCTCCCCACGTCTCTCATTGTTGGGAGCTGCTGCTTTCCTGTGCTCCCCTTTAGGATGGCTGCCCCCGGCGCTGCATTGCCCTCTGCGTGGCACCAGTGCAGCAAGGACGTGAAGGGATCCCACACCGAGAGTGAGCGTTCATTCGTAGCGAAGACACCCAAGGCCCAGAGAGCACTGAGCCCAACCTCACCCATGCCTCCTCCCATTTGCTGCCACCAAGAATGTGCAGAGTTCCAGGGGGGCTGCAGAGTGGACTGGACCCCCAGCCCCAGCGGTGGCACAGGTGACTGAAGACAAGGAGGTCACCTAAGTCTAACGTCCATTTGGCACATGAGTTGGACACAAGAGTGGTGAGTGCTGTGTGTGTAACACAATGGGGGATCACTGTAGCTCTCGGCCCACCCTCATCACGCGGAACGCTGATGCCTTGCTCTCGGCTGCCGCCCCCACCCCCAAGCCTGTTCCCAGCAGGCATGTTCATTAGGCTGAAGTGATTCCCTGACAGTTTAGGAGACTGGCCGTGTCTGTGGCAGACAAGAGCTGCAGAGCTAGAGGAGCGCAGAGAGGCTCTTGTTTGGTTTGGCTGTGGGTTTTTTAAAAGTGGAAAATGCCAGAGTTCTTAACGTGTTCAGAAAAACAAGCTGAGAAGGCTCATGTTCGCTCTGACCCTGGAAGCTGCCTCTGGTGTTTTGCTAATGTGTGGAGCCTCCAGCCACTGCCCCACCTGGCCTGACCATCCACGGGGGTGGGGGGGTGGGGGGCTATCTCACTGGTCTGTCCACCTCACAGAGACTACCCAGGGGCCTCTGGCCCCGGACAGCTCAGCAAAATTGACTGTTTCTTCTCATGTTTTCCCATCCCAGAAACCTCAGGAAAAAAGCATGGCCCATGTGTGCACAAACTTCTACTGGAGATGTGTCCTGGGCAGGAAGGAGACTGGGCTCCGGTTTAGAGCCGAGCATTGGATACAGTTGGAAATAAATTTAGCTGATTTACTTGAGTAAGAGTCCCTAACTCTTCAACAAGACAGAAGTTTCTTTTTCTCCTGTGCACCAAAGTCTGCACAGGGCTGGCACAAGGACCTCAGCCCTGCAGGGCAGCACAACAGCAGCCTCACGTGGAGACCTTAGGTAGCCACCCCAGCTCTGATTATGGCCTCGTGTCCATGCTCCCAAAGGGAGGCAGGAAGCCACAGTCCTCGGTCCACAGAGCGACTTCACCTAGAAGTTGCCCATTGCCTTGACCCTAACATCCCATTGGTCAGAACTTAGTCATGTAGCCACAGCTACTGCAAGGAAAGCTGGGAAGTAGATCTTTTCATGGCAGCTATAGTCCAAGATATAGTGTTCTGTCACTCCAAAGCAAAGCATTTTAGTGTCTTTGGCATTTGGGGCTAGAAACCCAGTTTTGGATCGGGGTTGTTTGGCCTACAGGTTATTAAATGGCTTCTTGACCAAAACATGGGTGTGTCCCATGAGAAGGGACCAGCTTCCTCTGAGCAAATCTTGCCACTTTAGCTAGGAGAGAGAGAGAGAGAGAGAGAGAGAGAGAGAGAGAGAGAGAGAGAGAGAGAGAGAGAACCAGATATCCTCACATCCTTGCATGTGTTTTGGAAAGCAGGGTCTTTTCAGATGTGATCAAGTTGAAGGTCACATTGGATCAAGGTGACCCTCATTCCATGTGACTAGTGTCCTTACTAGGTAAAAGGAGGGAGACACAGGCCAGGGGCCACAAGGGGAAAGGGGGTGTGGAATGATCGACCACAGCCCAGGAATATCTGGTCACTGAGAGCCTGGAGAGTCCAAAGGGGCTCCTAGAGCCTATGGGGAGTGAGACCCTGCATATACCTTGGCTTCAGACTTCTGGCAACTGTGGGGGACTTTCTGTGCTCAAGTGCACACACGCACGGCCCAGCCGTCTCTGGCGGACATAGCCATTCCCTTGATGAACAGAACCAGTGTTCCAGGAGTGCTGTGCTGTGTGGCAGCCACAGAGGACCCAGAAGTAGCAGTACACAGAGCGTTCCCCCGAAGCCGGCAGACATGGAGCAGTGACAGCCAGAGTCTGCAGAGCCCCAGAGCTTCTGCTTAGAAAAGGGCCGGAGTTGCAGGGAAGCCTAGAACAGAGCAGGGTCACTGTCGGGTGCTGACGACAGAAAGTACCACCAGGTTTGGACCCAGACTGGTCAACAATGGACATCTCCCTTGTCCCCCACCCAAGCCCAGAACCCCAGATCTTTACCAGACTGGAGATTCTGTGACCTTTGCTCCTTTGCCATGTCCTGAGAGACTGTTGATCCGGCTGACAAATGAGTAGGCTGGTTCTAATGTCTCCTAAGGCCCTCTGGGCTTGGGAAGTGCTAACTAGCAAGTCTTTAGATGAGCTTGAATTATGTGGCATTGTTATGCAGGAACACAGCCTCACAAAAGTACCTTGGGGAGGGAACAAAGGCTGAAACAGACATGTCAGCTGCTGGGATTATACTTAGAGAAACTATTTAAAAACCAAAGCCCCTCTCAACCGCTGTGCCCTGAGAGTAGTGTTTGACTTGAACGAAGGGTTTGTATCGACAGGACATGTTATAGTTCGATTTCTAGCAAAGAATGTAATTAGATGTCTCATGCTAGATATTGTTTCAATTACAGCAGGGAAAAAAATGCATAGCTCCCGCCAATGCCTCATTCTTGTTACCCAGGAGGCTCTCTCTGTGTCAGGCCAGCCCATACTCACGGAAGTCTGGGTAGTCATGGAGTTCGGTCAGCCCTGCCCTCCTGGAAAGTGACTGGGTACCAGGGACCCTTTGGTGTAGAGGGGACCTCTAAGTTGAGTGTTGAATATTTCCTGTGTCCTAACAGTGTGGGTGCAAGGACAGTTGGTGTCCAGAAAAGGGCAACATTTCTAGGGTCCCACCTGGAAATGGGGGACAGATGGACCCCATTGTATTCTGGAGAGCTATGGATCATCTCACCCTGGCTTGCCGGAGAGGCCTGGCCACGGAAGCTGTGCTGAGTTCAGTGCAGACTTTCCCAGATGGCTTTGCACCCTGCTGTCCCTACAGGTAGACATCTGCGAGGCATCCAGGACTCCCCTGCAGCAGGCCTTGCTTTGTGTCCTAATAGATTCCTAACTGTGTGGCTCTGTCCTCATACTCTGTCCCCCCCCACCCCTACAACTCTGGGCCCACCACCCTTCCCACCATCATTTCCACCGCCTACTTCCTCCCACTCTCAGACTAGCAAGCCCTAGAAAGCCCTTCTCTACCTCCTGGTGGAGCTGGCTGCCTCCTGGCTCTTCAGAATGCCTGAGAGTTGGCAAGACCCCGCCATGGGGGGCAGGGGCATTAGTTTCGCACCCTGATGCCTCTGTATGTATGGAAACGGTAGAGCCCGGCTCCCACTCAAGAGTCCAGCTCACATACCTGACGGTGGGAATCCAGCTCTGGTCTTTTGTCCAGTTGGGCTATGTCTGTGTGAAGGTGGATGTGACAGAGGGACTGAGTCCTGGTCACCTGCACCCCATACTCACGGCCACCCACAGTTTCAGTTCAATTCTGTGATAGTTTCATCTATCACAGAATTCGGTGATAGATGCTATCAGAGAGTGTCCTCAGCCAGGAAATCTTTATAAATGACTGGCCAGTGCACAGACATTGGCAATGAGTCTATGAATACATTGGGGTAGACGCAGGAAGACAGGCCCTCTGGAGATCACTGGGGAGATCGCCATTTCTGCGGACCTCACTGCAGCCTTCCCATTCACAGCCCAGCCATGACTAATCCCAGGCAGTCAGCTGCCCACAGGGTCCACCCAGCTGTGTTGAGCTCTGGGTCAAGCACAGGCTGTATCCAGTCCTGAAAGAGCCACAGGCATATCAGGAGTCCAGGGATGCCACTGATGTCACTATCAAGTGGCAACCCTAGACCATGCGGTCACAGAGCAGTCTGTGAGCAGCCTGACACACCTTGCTCCTTGTCCTCCATCACCTCTGACCGTGAGAAGCCCTCAGGTGAGGCTGGGAAGGTGGCAGGCACGATCATTTTACTGCTCCCCGGCCATGATGGTAGCCTTGTGGATCAGGTCCAGTAGCTGGAATTGCTGAGAGCCGCTCACCCTGTAGACCCCTGACTCCCTGTTATGATGGCTCATGGTAGCTGTCCCTGAGCATCACAGGCCTGAGGCACTTGCTGGGGTCAAGTGGGGGCTGGGCAGAGGCAGAAGGCATCTAGGCTGAGAGCAGGGGTCCATCAAGGAGAACGATCACATAAAAGGGTCATGGCACATTGTGAACCCTTTAAGTCATGCTGGCAGGTATGACATACAGAGCACATGTGTCTCTGAAGGGCACTGGTGACGGAAGGGAGGCAGGGCAGACATGTCTAACACAATGTAGTCAGCAGATCCAAAAGGTGGGTGGCCTTGGGGATAGGTTTCGTACAGCCACCTCATGGGGAAAGAGCTGCCTTCCGTCTGTCCACTCAGCATCTGTCCAGGATCCAGGTATTCTGCCTCTGATGCTTCCCCATAGGCCCCAGCACCGCTCTAGCTTTGGAGAGCCTGCGCCCTTGTCTCATTAAGCCATTAGGAGGGGTATCCATGGAAACCACATACTTGGGCACTCCACACAGATGAATATTTATTCAATTAACGAGCCCGGGGTGCCAAGAGGCCTTGGCTCCTGCGTGCCTGATGTGGGGGTTTAGGGGTGTGTTTGTTGCTGCTTGTAAGGCCCACTCTAGGCTAGATCTTTGTCTCTATGGTCTAATGAGTCTTCCAGCCATCCCTGAGATAGGCCCCACTGTCCTGTGGAGTGGCAGGCCTGAGAGCTGGGTGCACTGGAGTGGAATATGAATCCTGAAGGTGTGTCAGGGTGGAACCTTCCACACACTGGACTGCTGGGGCCTCCAGCAGGCGACTTGAGCCATCTCCCTAAGGCTTCCTCAGGCCTGACCAGAACTGGTATACAGTAGGTGTTCAAGCAGTGCTGGATCTAGTTGGAAGGAAGGAATGCTTGGTCTTCTTGGGCAGCCCTTTCCAGCCGCATGGGACCAAGGCCATACAGCCATCCCCTCCTTGTCTGTCCTCTGGTGCTCCTTCCAGGAGCTGTATGAACTCACCTACCAGATCGCATGTGCGCTGGTGTGTGTTGTTATGTATGGTGGGACCTCTCAAGGGTTCCTGGTCAGTATCTTGGAGCTGAGGACATAGGCTCCATCATCAGTAACTGGAACACTCCTGAGAAACCATGAAATAGTCAGCCTAGTGGAGGACTGAGCTCTGTACCTGGGGACTGCTGCTCCCCTAGAGCTGTTCAGATGCTACAGCAGGTAGTTCTGCCTACTGGTTTGCATTTGGGTGTGTGTACTTATGTGTGGATACATGTGCATGCATGTGTGTGCCTGTGTGTACACATGCATGAGTGTGTGTGCATGCATGTATGTGCATGCATGTGTGTGTGTTCATGGGTGTGTTGATGTGTATACATATGCATGTATGTGCGTGTGTGTGTGTGTGTGTGTGTGTGTGTGTGTGTGTGTGTGTGTGTGTGTGATGTGTGTGTCTGGGATGACTTTCAACAGACTGCGGCAAGGCAGTAGCTGGCTATAAAGACCTGACTTGGAGTAGGGCATCTATGCATGGTCTCACACTGGGTCAGCATGCTTTTCCTGATGGTCAAGCAATGGCCACATTTCCCACTGAACCCCATTTCTAGGGATGAAAGACTCTCTACACACTGCAGCACTGGTCACAGTTTTAGAAGAAGAACATTGTCCTTTTGACTCCATCCATCTCCTAAGGTGTGGTACTGAAGGTTTTTAAGAGCAGGGTCTTGAGTAGATAGCAATCTTTGAGAGTGACTTGGGGTTCCCTACAACAGGATTTGGGGGTTCCTTGAGCGCCTGGCTTTGCTTCAGCTTCCTCACCTGTGAGTGGACGTGATGATGCCCATGGTCAGGTCTTTCCATTAGCCACAAAAATCACAAAGTAGATGTGGCACTGTACCAGCACCTACAGGAGGGTTGTGGGTTCTCCATGTTTCCTCAGGCATGTTGCTGGATAGGCAGAGCCCCTTGGGAGACTTTCCCACGCATCTCTAGCTGGCTGGGGTCCTGGGAATGGTCTTTGAGCCCTCCCCCTGCTTCATTTTCCCCAAGAAAGGCAGCCAGACCCACATTGTCTCCAGACCCAGTCAGTTCTCCCTCCATTGTCATGGAGTTGGGACAAAAGTGACTCCTTAGGGAGCTGTCACAAAGCCTCCTTTCTGTGCACCCTCAGGATGAAACAGCAGAGACATGGGCCCTCTCCCTCCCTCAAGGGGCCAAGAGGGTGCTGAGCAATTGACAGTTCAAAGCCAATTGACAGTGACTCTCTGGAGACACAAATCAGGTCATGAAGAGCACGATGGGGTGACTGAGGAGGGCAGGGGATGAGGGGGGCACACGTGCTTCTCACTCTGCATTGGTTTCACTTTGGTTGCTGTGATAAAATAACCAGACACAAGCAACTTCAGGGAGAAAGACTTGATTTTGGTTCGCCATCAGAGAACATAAGTCCGTGAAGGCAGGGAAGGTGTGGCAGGTGAGGGCAAGCGGGCCCATCACATTGCCTTGTCAGTCAGAAGCCGAGAGAGAACTGGAAGTATGGCGAGGCTATGAAACCTCAAAGTCCGCCCTCAGTGACATACTTCCTCTCTCGGGGCTCTGGTTCCTACAGGTTCCATAACTTTCCCAAACGGCACCCCTAGCTGGGGACTAAGGGAGTCTATGGGGAACATTTCACACCCAAGCCACAACAACTCTGGACAGGAGCTGACAGGTACCCAGTGGATCCTGCAAAAGGCTGGAGTCCCTGTGGTGCCAACCACTGCACCCAGAAACAGTGAGTGACTTCAGCTCTTCCCATGGTAGCCAGTTCCCCTATTTTCTCATTTATAACATGGGATGAAAATACTGACACCCCCCCCAGGAGTCAGTGTCTCTCTTGGGCATCTTGGGGCCTCTGTGCCCCAGCCTCCTCCCCTAGACCAGACCCTAAGACCATGGAAAAGCTATATTAACTGAGTGAATCAATGCCAAGCTCCACAGCACAGTGGAAATCTGAATGACCCAGATGCTGAGGTGTGAATGTGACAGCTGGTTAGAGAGGTGTGACCCTGTCACATACCTCAGGCACTGGCCCACAGAGGGCAGTGAGCCTTTCCCCGTGGCTGTGAGAGGTCAGGACTGGAGGAGGATCTGACACCCAGGGCCTGTCTGGAGATTTCGGAGTCAACAGACCTGCTGACTCTCCTCTCCTGCCTCGGTCTTTGAGTAAGGCCAGTGGTTGGCTTCCAAGAAGACAAAGGAATGGAACAATCGGGCGGGATGGGAGCCAGCTGGGCTCACATCGTCCACCCCTCCTGCTCCCCAGAAGCCCAAGATGTGCACACCTGGTTGCGGAGCTAGTCTTGAAACCAGACCCAGAAGCCGGCACCTCACCTGCAAGAGTCAGACCTACAATTTGAGGCATGACTTGGCCATGAGTCATTAGACTTCAGAGGAAGCCAGTGTCCGGGACCAAACTTCATCCTCTCCCCAAAGAACAGACCCACACCCAAGAAGCCATCTTAGCTAGGCGGTAAAACACCACAACCAAAGCAACTCGGGGAAGAAAGGGTTTATTTCAGTTTACAGCTCCCAGGTCATACTCCATCACTGAGGAAAGTCAGTCAGAGCAGGAACTAGAGGCAGGAGCTGATGCGGAGGCCATGGAGGGGGGGCGCTGCTGCCTGGCTTGCTCCTCTTGGCTTGCTCAGCCTGCTTTCTTATCGAACCCAGGACCCCCAGCTCAGGGATGTCCCCATTCCCCACGGGCTGGGCCTTTCCACATCAACCATCAATCAAGAAATTGCTCCACAGGCTTGCCTTTGGCATAATCTAGTAGGGGCATTTTTCAATTGAAGTTTCTTCTTTCCAAATGACTCTAGCTGGTCTTGAAGACCCTCCGCCTCGAACAGCACCCTCTCTGTTTCCTGCAAATCCCTGGAACCGGCCTTGAGGACCTGCTGTGGAGCCTTCAGATGCTCTCAGGATGAGCACAGCCTTCCAGCTACACCCATAGAGCCAGACGAGGTGGAGGGGGGGGGCAAATGGGCAAATGAGGGTTTTACATCTCACCCCTCACTTAAACAGTGGGGTGGCTCAGCAACCCTCTCCTCGAGGTGTTATGGGGGTCTGGGCACTACTCAACCTAGAACCCCGAGCCCAGGCCACCTTGCCTGCTCTCACAGCTCTATCTAACCCCTGTCAGCTGCTGTTTCTCTGCAGGCCAGGATAGTAACCAGCACACTATTGGTCCTCACAGATGGATTGCTCAGTAAATACCCTAGAACAGAGCCTGTCAGTTACTTCTGTAAATAAAATTTTACCAGAACACAGCTGCACATGTTGGTTGCTTGCAACGTTGTCCCCGGCTCCCTCTCAGAGACTAGCCTGGAGCTGACAGGCTGCAGCAGAGACACCACAGCCAGCCGGACCGATTTTCTGTTGCTCAAGTGTTGGCTGAGGCTGTACATTGCAGAGTTCCTCAATAGGGAAGGGGAGGCAGAGGCTCGCTGCTCACCAATATCATGTGATATTAAATCACATCTGCACCTCAGTTTTCTGCCTATTCAAACTTGGGGCAAGTCTCTAAGTTTCCCTTGGGATTTAAACCCCTAGTAGCTGTGTGTTCAGGATTGAATTCTACCTGTCATGATGTCCTTTCTCGCACCCATCAGGCTCTAGCTGACATTCAGAAAGTGAGTGCTACAAGAGCTGGGAGAAGCCTGGAGCCCGCTGCACACCACTGGTGGGCAAGCCAGAGGGAACAGGCCTGTGGGAAACAGCACAGGGGTTCTCAGAGCGTTTAAAGCAGGGTGCAGACATCTTAGCCAGCAGAGAAATGCCAACCCAAACTGGTTTGTGATTCTATCCCACCCCAGTCAGAGTGGCCACCATCAAGGGAGCAGAATATAAATGCTGGTGAGGATGTAAGGGAAGAGGAGCCCTTGTTCACTGCTGGTGGGGTGTAAACTTGTGCAGCCACAACGGAAACCAGTGTGGAGATTTCTCATAAAGTGAAAAACAGAATTACCATGTGACCCAACTCTGCCACTCCTGGGCATCTGCCCGAAGGCCTCCAAGTCCACATATCACAGAGAGGCTCATGCAGCCACGTCTATTGCAGCTCTAGCCAGCAAATGGAAGTAGCCTAGTTGTCAATAAGTAGAAGATGGACAATGAAAATATGGTGCTTATGCACGGTGGCATTTTATGCATCCATAAAGAAATCATGACATTTGCAGGAAAATGGATGCAACTGAGATGATTGCGTTAAATAAAACAAACCTGACTCAGAGAGACAAATAACACTCCCATTCTCTCATACGCGAACTCTAGATGTGTATATGTATGTGCATTTGTGTGTGTGTATGTGTGTGTGTACGTGTGTGTGTGTGTGTGTGTGTGTGTGTGTGTGTAGGTTGGAAAAGTAGAAAGTAGAGGGAAGGCAATCTTTAGGGAGAGAGAAAAAGAAGGAAAAATGAAAGAGAAAGAAAGAACACATGTTGATGGGTGGATGTTCAGTGGGTAAAAGCACTTGCCTCCAAGCCTGACCACCCAAGTTTGATACCTGGACTTGGGAAGAAGAGAATCGACTTTGACAAGTTGTTCTTTTGGTCTCCACACATTAAGACTCTCACACCACCCCACATGTACACCATATATATACATGTATGTATGTATGTATGTATATATATATATATATATATATATATATATATATATATATATATATATTTAGAGAATGCATGTGACATGAAGCAGAAGGGGAACTTCTTGCAGGGATGAAAGTAACCAGAAAGAGGCATAGGGGAGGGAGGCAGGAGTGGGGTGAAGAACATGTATTAACATGTGTGTGAAAAAGCCATAATGAAACTCATTACATTGTATGCTGACTTTGAAGAAATAAATCAACTAGATGTGGTGGTGCACATCCTTAATCCAGTACTTGGGAGGCAGAGGCAGGAAGATCTCTGTGAGATCGAGGTCAGTCTGGTCTACAGAGTGAATTCCGGATCAGCCAAGGCTATATAGTAGGACTCCGTCTCAATGTAAATAAGTAAATAATAAAATAAAGAAAAAGGAGTAGGGCTAGGGTGTGGCTTAGTGATGGAGCACATACTTACCGTGCTCAAGGCCACACCTTCCATCCCCGACACGCTAATAAATCAACCAGCAAAACAAATGGAGCTGCTTTATCACCCAGAGGTCTCAGTTCTGAGCGCATGCCCAGGAGTGGGAAGAGGCACCACAGGAGGCACAGTACAAGTGCCCACTGAAGAATGGACGGATAGAAAAAAATGAACACAGGAGGTGACAGTGTTTAGCTTTAAGCTACAATGCTGAGGGACCTGAGCCCGGGTGCTTGGTGAGAGGCTGCTGCAGACCATGGAGGTTGGGGTTTCCCAGGACACTGTCACAGACAGCAGGTATTTTTTTTTTATTTTACAGCGCTTTGTGTGATAATGGTTTGGAACTGCAGAAAAGTAATAAAAAATAATGCAAGAGCCCCATGCGCTTTATGTGGACTCGAACACCATGTTACCTCGCTCTCACGGTTTTCTGAACGGTACAGATTGTTGCTGTCCTTGACCACAGTCCTTGACCCTCAGGCAAGGCTTGTCTCCTGCACCCACAGCGACAGTCTCAGCATTAGTGTGGTCTAATCCACTTGTCACCTCTTGGGTTAGCCAGCATCCCTGCACCTCTCCTCACATGTCCCCCAGCTGTCACCTCCAGGCCAGGACAGCTACTGCATCTTCTGTCTTTCCCAAGAACACGCCTGCAGTCTGTCTTTTTATGTTTGGGGTTAAAAACAGCATTGAAGAGTACAGTGTTCTCTTCCTGGGCCTGCTGGGTTTCCCAGGGAGGGCACTGAGGATGCTCGTCCTTGGCCATGTTGTGCTGTGGTTCCTTTCCTGGCACAGGACTTGGCCACCCCTCCCGCCATGCTGTTTCCACAGGCCACATCCATCGATACCGTCTGTTGATGTTATTTTGATGGGCTGTCTGATTTATCTGCTCTCGCTTCCTGGAAACTTGTAAAATGCCTCTGGCAGACACACTCACACACAGGAGCCTATTTCTCCCCACCACCACCACCACCACTTGTCCTCTAGTTAGTGTCCTTCACGATGCTCTGATCCAGTCTGCTGTTGCAAAAGGTAGGTTTTCAAACCAACACTTCCCTGTATCCAGTCGCCACCTAGCACCTTCCAGAAACAGCAGTCCTTTATCTCATCATCATTCCAACCTATTGCCCATCATTCCTTCCCACCCATTACCCATCACCATCTATCATCACCCATCATCCATTTCTACCATTACCCATCATTCCACACCTATTACCCATCTGTCCATCCACCTGCCATTATCCATTCAAACATTATCTATATCTATCTCTCTACCTATTATCTATCAATTTATCTATGATCTATTAATCACTTCTGTATCAGTTTATTATCAATCAATATGTATATCTACTGGTTACTTATCAATCTCTATCATCTATCAATCAATCATCTATTGGTCATCATTTATCTATATGCATATCTATCAACTATCTGTCCATTTATCTATCATCCATCTATCCATCCACCTATTATCTATCTGCCCATCAATTATTTATTGATCCATCTATCCACCATCTAACCATATATCATCCACCTACCATTTATAACCTCTCTTGTCTATTACCTGCATGTACTTGTGACTCCCCATCTCTCCAGTTGAAAACTCAGTGTCACCCTTGACGATCCTGGTGCCACTTGGTCCAGACTTGGCTGGAGTAGCCACCACAAGCTGCTCCCATGTCTTCATGATCCGTGACTTGCATTGAATACTTCTGCACTTTCTGGCATAACAAGATGTTCCTGTCTAATTTTGTACATTTCTTGCCCCAGCCCTAAATCCAGCCATTTCGCCCAGGAACTCTGGCTCCTTTTAAGATTCCATCTTAGTAGGAAATGCTACAGGAACTAAGGTCTAGGTTCCAGGATCAGACAGGGTTTTGAAAGGCCTTTAAATAGACAGAGGAGATTCACCCAGGCACTATGCACACTATACACTATACACATATAGTATTACATGAGCACATGTGTACATAGAGACAGACACATCAGCACATGCACACACATACATGCACCTGCACATGTGCATACTTACTGTCAACTCAAAAACACAGCTCCTACCTCAAAGAGGAAAAGAGATAGTTTATTCTAAAGTCAAATATGAGTGACCACATCTGGGAACACATTCCATGCCCCAACTTGGAAGTGGTTTTGTGAAGTTTTTATAGTCACAGAACAAAGAAACTCATAACTCAGGGCACTTTTCAATACGTTTGGTGGAAACAAGAAATGGGCGGAGTGAGGCAAAGTGAGATGTTGGAGGCCTCAGATGCTATCTGATGGCATTCTTAGCCTTTTGGTTGGTGGAAACTAGGGTTCTGTTTGTACATTCCAAAAAGTTTATCTGCTAGTCACAGGATGTTGGATCAGATGCAGAGGTAGGAAAGAAAGGCTATTAAAGGAGATGAAGTTAGCCCAAGATAAATTATAATTAGGCTGTGGACCTGCAGCATTCCAATGTCTTCATGGTCACCGAAGTTCTAATCAGTTCCTCAGCCTTGCAGAAGGGTCAGTGGGAGGTGTAGTTTAGAAGCGCTCATGCAGGCACACAATACATACAGTATACACAATACACACAGTACACACGGCACACAATACACACAGGCACACATAGTACACACAGCACACACAGTACACACAGTACACACAGCACACAATACACACAGGCACACACAGTACACACAGGCACACAATACACACAGCACATACAATACACACAGTACACACGGCACACAATACACACAGGCACACACAGTACACACAGGCACACAATACATACAGTATACACAGTACACACAGTACACAC